TAAGCCATGTAAGAATGACGTTAAATTGTATTGTATCATACTTCGCGTACACTCACAAAACGGCAGGTCGACGCCATATCGTCGACATGAGCGCAATGTTCCACTCCGCGCATGTACGTGAATATATAGGTAGGTATAGCCACCCTTGGCGCAAACGGAGAGCAACAGCGAGAAAGAACGGGTGAGGCGGGGTGGAAAAAAAAGAGAGAATCAAGGGGAGAGAGAGGTTAAAAAAAACGAAATTTCCCAGCTGTTCAAGCCGACGTTTTATCTTCCTGAAGGATCAAACATGGCGGACGTCGCTCGCAACGGGAGAGAGGGGGTTGCAACCCTTGCTATCTGCCTGATCGAAACCTCGCCGTCGCAGGAGTTCACGGCGCACGCGTGTGCGTACGTGCGTGCGTGTGCGTGCACGGAATTTCCGTGTAGCTCAATACGTACAATGGAAGAAGAGGACACGAGCGGTGGGCAATATATGCCACGACTTTATTATATACAGGGTGGTGGGCCGCGTGCACACCCGCGTGCGTATACCTGGTGGTCGCCTTTTGTTTCCCAGATCGTATCTGCGCTCCGTTTTTCGGCGACACATCTGTGACTGGATTCAAACCGGCGCACGCTAAAAATGAAACATATTGTGGAGGCATATGTCTTTGCGTGCATTCCCCCTTTTTTCAACCTTACTTTCAGAGCTTTCTAGCAAGTGAGACATATCAACATAGACTGTCATTCTGTTTTTTTTTCTTTCACTAAATATTGAACAAAGAATAATTCCTGTGTTGATGTAATGTATCTCTTGCTAGAAAGCTCCCTTTGATACTTGAAACGTGAGCGACTAGATCGTGTTAATCATACTTTTTTTGGAAATAAATTCAGTTTCTCACTCTACAAAAAAAAAAAAAAAACTAATTTCTCGCTACGAGAACTTGATCTCCTTTGTGAAAGTCTAATTCTGTTCTTTTGGTTAAATGAAGCTATCATAGTTTCTGACTATATTTTCATATCTAGATACTAATCGTCGAATAATGAATGGGTCACATTTTCGTAATGTTTTCCCTTAACGTGGAATACTATTGTTCGCAGCATTGTTTACTGAATGGGATCGATTGTCCGTCGTGAACGATCGGCCGTCATTTTACTGAGACAATCAGGACAATCGGGAATGAATTTCGGCTGAGTGGCTGCATGAATGTTTAATCCGGAAGTAAACAGAGACAAGTGAGGGGCGCGATGAGTAAAGGCGCGTTCACACTTTGATGAAAAAGAAAGTTTAAAAGCAGCAGCTAATCAGAACTCGCGCTGGTAGTCGACAATTTCGGCTTTTTGTACTACTTACTACCATCGCGAATTTTGATTGGTTGTTGCTTTTCCGTCAAGGTGTGAACACGCCCTAAGAACGCTGGGGGGAAAAAGGGTATCTGGAGTTCTCGCGACGGGGAAAAATGATGGAAAACACCGAAAGTGTCGCACGCACGTGCGTACGCCCACTACTTTAAATCGATACATATTTTATCGACCGGCCGCGTTTTTACGCGCGCACGTCACGCACGCACACCGTCGCGCCGCGCGTGCACGCGGATGAATGATGGGTGGGCGTGTCGGTTCATCATCGCGTCGGAATATTTGTACGGGTCGTCATGGCGAACTCGCGAAACGATTGCCTCTGTTTAAACGGTGACAGCAAATGAATTATACACAGCAGGCAGGGTATGTATCTAGGATGTATGTAGAATGTCCCACTCTCTGACACGTTAATGATTGATTCTTTGATGAATTTCTTCTCCTTTTCTTTTTTTAACCTCCGTCTATTATCTAGGTCTTCTCTTTTTTGGCGCAAACGAAATTTCACTCTCAAATTTTATCCTTTATTCAAATTTCAATTTTTATTAAATAACATTTGAGTTCAAAATTATTTGATAATGTAATAGAGATATATATTGAAAATTAACTCTGAATTTTTTTCTACATTTTTTTGAAAGCCTAGAACAGTAAAAAATTTGGGCTGAGCAAAAAAGGCAAATTACAGACAGAGGGAGTAAAAATATGATTACAGGTAGAAAGTTAAATAACTCGATCTATGAATAACTATGGAAATATATATATATGTATAATCAGAGATTTACAATAAAATGCATCGAATATTCGTATGGTTTGATCGAGCGAAATCACAATGAACTCTGCGCGTTTCACGAAAGAGAGTGATCGTGATACGTTAAGCGAGCAACAAAAAAATAATAGCTACGGAAAATTACATGAGACGGCGATATGATGCTGTTTGTAAAGCTTCGTCAATTAACGAACACATTGAGTGCAGCCGCCATATCTATAATTACTCGCGAGGCGACGCCGGCCCGTGAAAAACTGTTGAATTAATCAGTCTTGCTCTATCGCGTACCAGGGAGAAAGTGCGATAACGAGAGGGATAGTGAAACGTCAATACGCGCTTCTGCATCGCAGGTATGCCGGTCATTGCATCTCGTGCCGCTCTCAACGAGACGCGCCTTCGCTTTGGAATACTGCAAACCGCGAATCATTGTGATCTGAGAAATGGACTCGTCGAGGGTTGACACTCGTGAAAGTGCACGCTAAGAGCACATCTGAACGTCCAATGTCTATTTCTAACACAATGTATAGGTTAACTTCAATCTCCGAACTTATATTTTAGCCTTTTCTATTTCTAAGAATCAGAAAAAGATAATGAGTAAATTAAACCGAGATTAAAAATTAAATTATATTGAAAGAAATGAACACAATTGGTCTAACAATCTCTTTTGACCAAGAGATAGATTAACTTTGACTTCCGTTTAACTTATGCTTTTTATCCTTTTCTAGTTCTAAGAATCAGAAAAGATAATGAGTAAATTAAACCGAGATTAAAATTAAATTATATCGCTAGAAATAGATATAATTGGCCGAACAATCTTCCTTTTTCACAGAGATTGCGTGCTTCACCACTATGATACTTTCGATCGCTTAGTCGATATTGACACGCACATGCTTCGCGAATATTCTAAGAATATCTCCATCAAAAGGACTCTTGTATCAATATTTGAAAATCACGACTGTAAAATTTATAATAAAAATTATTTGTCGCGTGTTGAAAAATATTAAAATTATTGTACATAAATTGCAAACGTAAAACGTAATTCGCAATGCTTGTCGCGACAACCAATCAAAAGCAGTCAATGATATCACTGACACTTCTGATTTTCTGCAAGTAACGACTATTGCGAACTACGTTTGTGACTTATGTAGATTAACCTTTAGTTTTGCACTATCGCGAACGATTCAGCCACGCTGTACGTAATAAAGAAAGGAGAGTTCGATTTCGGATAATAAGTGATTAGAGAGACGGAAAGTGTAAACCCCCATAAAACAGACGTTTCGTGATCGATTCCGCGAATTTTCGTGAGTGTTTAGTCAGGTCGAATCGCTGTTAGGAGGAGAGTCCGAAGGATGGAAGAGGAAGCAGAGCCGGTGGTATCGAGTTTCCGCATCGGTACTTCGGACGAGGCTGCTCCATCTACATAGGTGCTAGCAGAGTGCGCCAAAAATAGATCGAGTTCACACGAATTCTACGAGCCGATCGCACGAAACCTCCGGCTACCGTTCGTGATATCGATCGAACTGGCGGCGACCTGATATGTGCGGAACTCTCGCCGCTGCCTATAACGCGCTACGATTGAAAACGTGCTCATGAAAACCATGTATCTAATTTAAGAATATAAAACTTACTTAATAATACAAACTTATGATTAGTGTATGTTAATTACGGGGATACAATGTATTCCTTTTTTAAGCATATTTAACTCAATCTTGAGAGTTAAACGTTCATATCCGCTTTCTGCGAGAATGTGTTCAAGCCTATGAGTTATATTCAAGTCGATAAGTTATATGGGCTGAAATAATTATAGTCAATTCTTATATTTAAAACTGTTTTAAGTGTAGTCTTAAGATTCTGAACCAAGCACAGGCCGGTATTCATAATCTGTTCTTATATTTAAGATCGTCTTAATTACAATCTTAAGATGACATGAATCAATTAGAAAGCCTTATTGGCATCATTACTTAAGACGGTCTTAAAATATTATCTACTTAAAACGGTTTTAATACACTATTCAATCCGGATTTGAAACATTTCTATTTGTGTGTTCGACACTCGACTTAGCCTTCCTCGTGACATGGAAAAATTGCCCACTTCGCGTGAAATATCACGTATAGAAATTTACTCGGGCGTTACGTCTCTTCCGTTGAAAACGATCAATTTAAATGAATTTAAATGAATTGATTAAACCGTCAGGTCTCGTACTTCCGATGTGATTAAGGTGTTTCCAGATGTTCTCTTTAACGGAAGATTGCGAGGCAAGTTCTCCAATACACAATAACGGCAATCCACCGCACGAAAATCATTCGACCCGCCATCACCGGGCGCGTTGCGATACGGAGCTGCTAATCACAGTGGAGAGAAGCGGAGCGTATATTAATCAGCGGGTACAGGAAATTAACTTGGCCTTGTTTTATCTTGCATTCTGATTACTATATCTACACACCGCGAGAAACGTATATCTTCGTTCTCTCTGCTATACGTACATGGTAATTAAGTATGTGTGTCTTGCTTACGCGAAGGAAGCGATCAAGGACGCACTTTTACGAATAAGGTGTAGACAGAAGACGTAGGATTTTTTTCGAGATCCAGATATCAGTGTTTTAACAATAAGTTCAATAAGTCAATGTATTGAATTTTATCGCGCAAAATATGCATTTCCACGCCATTTTTCAACATTTTACATAATTGCCTACTTAATGTAGCCATAATAAAGCAGATACGAATTTACATATGAATGTTTGCTTATTAATCAGAAGCAATCGATTTTAAATGTAAAAAATAAAATTGCCTTCTATTTATTTTTATGTTGTCTGATTAATCGAGCTTGACGGAAATATATATATATATAATCGTACTTCGCTTGTCAAGGAACTAACACAGCTTAGGTACTTACCAGTCGTCGTTTCGGCTTGATGAGGGGTCGATTCTGACCGTTCATCTTGTAATAAAGCCCGCAAGCGTTGCAGAGGTAGTGGCCAGTGCCGTCCCGTCTCCAAAGGGGTGTCGATGTGGCGCCGCAATTCACGCACTCGCGACCCTCTACCCCGACGGAACGAAAATCATATTAATTCGGCGCAGTTCATATCGCGCAGCGATATTACTCACTCGTGTTCGCGTGCGAAACGCGAGATCGAACTTGTCAAAGTGGGAACTGCTCAGGCTTCTCTTCGAGGACTCGATTCTAACGTTTCCCACGCGAACACGGAAGCACGTTGATCGCGCGAAGAGGCAAACTCATCGTTTTTTCTCAATCTTTCATCATACAAGCTATACTTTTGAGAATTTTAATGCAAAATATGCCACCTCTGTGTTTGTACTTTTCCATTTATTTTCTACTATTTTGACAAAATAATATTTTCTCCAACTAACGTGGCCTTTGAAAATTGTATAGAATAAATACATAATATGAATGCATTACGCGAGATAAAACAATATTAATTTAACGTAATAATATATAGATTTGACTTCGGTGAATCAACGTGCGTTTACAGAGAGATTTGCAAACAGTCAGGTGACTCGTGAAAAAGAATTCGCATGCAGAGTTGCAGACATACCAATATCAAGCGATTACCAGAGCAAAAGCAGAGTCTCTTTAAGACCATGGGCGTTTATAGGATTCACGGATCGAACTTACGTTAGTGCGGTTGGTTAGTCCCCAAGGACACTGCGAGAGAAAGAAGCGGATATGGGGAGAAAAAGGATGGGATTCGTTCATATCTCCCGATCTATGACCAGACGACAGGAACGGTGTTGCTTGAAAGATTGGCAAATTTATTTTCTAAATGTTCCTAAAGATCGACGTTATCCCTCCACAACTGGAGACCCTCTAATCAAAGACTGGTTATAAAAGAGTGTCGTTCATTTTCTTGCAAAATCCTGCAAGTGACAAAAGATATGCTATCTCACTTTGCAGTGATGCGAGAGAGAAAAGAATGTGTGCTGTCTCGTTGTAACTAATATGAATTGCCAGAAAATGTCGGACCAATCAAAAGTACAGTGGCCATCTCTGATTAGAGGGTTCCCTATTCACAATAAGTACACAGAGAAAAAGATTTCTTTGGATTTAGTATTCCTATTTATTTGCTTGTACGAAATATTATTTGTTTGAATAAAAATTTTGTTGTTTCATTCGAGAAATCTCTATTGCTTGACAGAAATAACATTATTATTTGAAGTAATATCTTTCAATTAAATAATATATTATTTGGTTACAATGAATACAAACAATGAAATTAATTGTTTATTTGAAAATGGCAAAATATATTTATAGAGGTTAGGTTATTCCATGCAAATAATTGCTTTCTTAGAAAAATCATTACATTTTTTGACCGAAAACATGGAAACAATGGTTTATACGTCTAACAACAGGATTAAACGAGCAGTGCTATGTGCTACATCAATTATGTTTGTGCCGTACAGTTGATCACGCGAATACTGAAGATAGATATTATCTGTTCAAACAAATAATGTATTTAAGACAAAGATATACATTGTTTCAAATTCAAACAATCGCATTCATTGATTCAAACATTGGTTTGTTTGGACCACTCCAAATAACAAATTTATTTGGATACAATAAAATTTATTACATCCAAAGAAATCTTTTTCTCTGTGTAGACAGCGCTCTCTTTCTCGTGGAATTAGAAAATAAATTTAGATCTATCAGAACGCGCGATTCTGGATGGAAAAGAAGAAAGAAGGACTGCGGATATAAGGATCACTTCTCCCGAAATGCGCGTTTCACGAATCGTCCTCCGAGCTGCGTCCTCCGCGGAGATATAGCCGAGTTTATCGGCTGCTACTGAAAATGATTGCTATTAAATTGCATCGTCGAATCTCTCGTTGACGCACGAGAGACCGAATTGTCGACTGTTACGCGATACGATTGAGTAAAATTCGAGGTAAAAGTAAATGGCTCCGTTCAGTGGCTGTTAAACAATCTTAACGATGCTCGTAAAAGCCACCCTCTGACTACCTCTGCGATTAGGTCAATTCTGTCGTTGACATTTATTACTAGAGTGCGTTTTGATTTTGTAAAAAATTTGTAGTGTAATTTATCTTGCGAGAGATATATTTTATAAAGGATAGAACAATTGAAAATCATATCAATTCCAAAAAGATGTCGTGCCGATGATGGCGATATCGATTGAACGCGCGTCGCTGATTAATGACTCGACCTCAATTTAACGCGAAATTTGACGGCAGCGGAATAATTCTAGCACACGTAACGTAGGTCGCATGTAATTGTCGACACGCGAGCGGCTCGTTTGCGAGTCCACCATGTAGATGAATCTGTAACCGAGCAGTCGAACGTCAGTCTTTTCGTCAGGTTTGTCATACACGTGTGTAAGATGCAATCGAGGAATGCGAAGCATCACAGACGAGATCACTGTACCTCGATTCTGTAACTCTTAATGATAATATCGGAAACATATATTTTCGTTGCGCAGATATTACACTGTTAAGTGAGCAATGACAGCCCAATCTCTTATTAAATGACATTTTGTAATTTTTAGCTTCCATTTGTATCAAAATGTAAACCAATCCATTTTTGTGGATAGCTCCAAAATAAACAACGTCCATATTAACGTATGCATTTAGTAAATAATAAATTAAATTAGAGTAAACTACTCTAAACTAAATAATAAAATAAATTTAACACATTTTCTTGAATTTTAAATTTAACGCCATCATTTTAGTTAAATTAGCAACATATTGAATAAATGGCGACCTATAGAAATTATTGAAAACAAATCAAATTGAATATAATTTGACATTATACTCAATAAATATTTAACTCTCTTGTAGAAAGGAGGGTCGGATGCAACCCTCGGCTTTGTCAATTTTACAAAATCCATGCGTTGTTTAACAGAGAAAGAAGAGAGAGTTTCATGATATATATTATTTATTTTTATTTAACCATTTTGTTATATCAATTAGATAAAATATGAATAAAACAGCATCGGATCGGATCCAATCTTACTTTTCTGGATATCTTGAAACTTCACTTTACCGTAATAGTTACAGAATCAAAATACAGGTTCTGAACGTGAAAGAGATACTATATTTAATAAATGTCGTTTTGGTGCGTTTCGAGATCGATTTCGAAACTAACTGGAAGGACTCGCCCAACTCACTCTTCCGCGGTGTTTTAATTCGATTTCGGTCTTACCGACCCGCAGATGCGAGGGTGATAACGCCTACAACTACCGTCAATCGCCGATGCTATGTTCTGAATCCCTCTCTCATGCCGACAATAACAGAGCGGCATAAACGCGATCAATCTTGATCCCCTCACTGCTTTCCGATTTGATTTCGATGACGCCTCGGTGATTGCGGATTAAATCCTGATTTCTCTCTCTAGTACTATATTATTTTTTAATTGACATCCTTGCTTTATTCACTGACAACGCAGGTTTCACCCTTTGGCGGAATAAATTTTTAGCAATTTAATTATCAATCAATTTTGTTGATAAGAATGTTCATCGCTCTTTGGCATTTATATTATCGCCGATAATAATTTCCGGCTACACATATTTCCTTGTACCGATGTTTCTCTGACTATCGATCGGTTTGTAATGATGGAACGAACAGACGGACAGTTCTGACGCAGACGATGGGTATCAGCCACGAAACGTCGAGGTGACGCTCGTTTGCGTCGTTACTCGAAATATAGTCCTCGTGTCAGAAGGTGACGCTAAAATGGCCGGTTTCACCCCAAAGGGACTGGTATCGCTCCCATTTTCGACATCACCTCCGACCTTAATGCCAGGCATGCAACGAAGCGCTCGTTAGACCATCGCTTCCGTTTCAACTTTCGCGAAGCTTTCCGGATTACAACACGAAATGTTTGATAAAACGGTATATCGTAACACGATAAAATTCTGCTAAATTTGGAATCGTTTTTTTATTTTTACATCTAAATGCACGTCTAAATAAAACGATTGCATGATTCCTCATTTTTTAAAATTATGTCAAGTATGTTTTATTCTTTATGTTAGCATTATTTTTATATCAAGTAATTCATGCTAATAAAAATTTCGGAAAATTCCTTTGTAAGTGTTCTATTATTCAACATCCGCTGCAAAAGTTAGGCATCTATTATTGATACAGAAACAAACGAGCGAAGATTATTTAGGGTCAAAACAACCTAGCCACCGGTGCTCGTTGGCGGACGAAGAAAATCGACAAAGTGGAGGAAGAAAGCCACCGCTTGTCCCGTGCCACTTCTGTCATCAACGGTCGAGTTATGATTCAGTACGAAAGAAGCGGCGTTCCGTTACGAATTTTGCACTGGCCCATGATTATCTCTCTTCCACCTTATTATCCTTTTTCTTTCTTCGCTAATTACGGATGTAATTCTGCAATCCTTTCGAACCTAACAGGATTTTCCATAAAGCTTCTGCTCCCCGATGGTTTTCTGGTCGTCGACTCAGTCGTCTGAATCGTCAGCGTCTCATTAACATTTTAGTTGTAAGGGCAAACACATCAATGGCGTGTAATGTATTTATCATTTATATTTTAAAGTTCTGATGCAGTGCATTTTTCAATATTTCGAAGATTTAAAACTGGAAATTCCATAGTTTGTATTAATTTATCAACGTAATTTCGACAACTTTTACAAAAAGGTTGTCTAAAGCCATAATCATACTAGCGATTGCATGATTGCGATTAGCGATTATTTTTTAACCAATCAGAGCAAAGCAGTTATCGATTACTTCGCTCTAATTCGTTGAAAAGTAATTGTCAATCGCCACTTATAATCGCACTAGTGTGATTATAGCTTAATATTAGCTAATTTAATACTATGAAAGATGTAAAATAAGTAATTAATAACTCTCCATCAACAATATAAATTTTAATTCTTCTATCAACAACAGGGGATTCAACAAACAGAACAAATTTTTTATCGTTCCAGATTATATAACAATTCACAAAAATTCTTTATACTTGTCAAAGCTTTAACGAGTTTTTCATTATAGAAATCGGATTATATTTTATTTCTTTTTTACGTATTTAAATCTATCAAAATTCACAATCAAAATATCAATATCTTTAAAGACTTTAATTGTCGTCAAAGGGTTAAAAGCACTGTCTTGTTCACTTTTAATTCTTTTTCCAAATAATTAATTACTTTGTTTTTCTTTGTCTTTCTGTAAAAAATTACCGGTATTAAATTTCTGTAAAGGAAGTTATCTACATATAATGAACTAGATATTATTATTCACGTCTTCGATTCCGTACAATGTATCTATACGATTTATTATCGATATGCGTCATTCGCCACTTTGCTGTTTATTGTATTAATTATCTGCCTCCAAGTCATAAAAATTGTTTCACGCTTCATTCGTTCATTCGGAGAAGGAATCTCTAGTATCTCAAGTTCCACCTATTCTTACCTCCTTCCCATCACGAGCGAAGGATATTTACCAATCCCGTGTCTACCGCCTGTTTTTCGTGCCGCGAGGTATTACTCAATCGACACCTCTCAAGCGTCACTTCGACTGACGTATACTTTGTTACGGGAGCTATTTTTCGTGGCCTTCTCATAGGCGATTTTCTCGACAATCGTGGTAGGTGTCGCTAAACGAACCGCCGATGCCGTGGATGCCGTCTGGCTTCTTCTTCGTCATCGTGAAGTTTCCGCGCGCGGCTAGTTGGTGTGTGTCGTAAGTCGATTCAATTAGCGGGCTTCCATGGCGCGAAGCCGGGGGCCATTGTTCCCGGAATTAGGATTTTTACCACGCCGCCGCCGCTCCACGCTGGAGAGCGACCAGCTATTATTACCGCAATCAGCGTATCCGGCATTTTTCAACCGTTTCTCGTTTCCCTCTTCTCCTTTCCTCCTTCCTCCGTGGCATTATCCACTTCGACGACAACATGGACGATATCGAAAGAAACGCACAATATCCCAAAAGTTCGTCGATCTCGCTCGAAATTCTTTCTACAGTCTCGTCACACGTCACGCGATCGTACTTTATAGAAATTGATGGACTGTAATTGTCCGTAAATCCGCGACGAATGCGACCCAGCCGCGTGTGCTCGCACGAGGGGAAAAATTATTTGTCGAAGGTACGCCATTGAAAAATGGTCCGTGGACTCTTTGAGAGGGAGCTTTGCCGTGACAAAAACAAAAATACAGCGCTAGCCACACCACATCGAAAAAAAACCTGTGCTTCTTCGCATATTTTTGTGTCTTTGCGCATGTATGTGTGTCCGTGTGAATTGTACGATATATGTGTGAGGAGGGGGGGAATCAGAGAGAGAAGTATGCGTATTTATAAATAGGGATATATAGTAGATACATATATCGTGTTTCATTTCGTAAATCGGGTGTGGTGCTTCACGCTCGCTCTCTCGAGTGGGTGCCACGCAAAAAACACATCAGTGAGGCAAAATACAAAAAACCACAATCAGTGCCTCCCTCTCTCTTTCGCTTTCTTTCTATTGTGATACAGCTCGTCCAAAAAAACGAGAGAAACGGGTGGAAAGAACGTGTTTGGAACGAACTTTAAGCGTAAGACGACCGCCACCAAAAGCTCACGGTTAAAATTAAGATAAAAAATAAAATAAAATTGAATAATGAAACGAAATCGATAAATATCCCACCTGTATATTCTCTTGCCCTCTTTACGTATCCAATCGATATACGAAATGCTTCCGAAAGATGTATCGAGTGGATCTCGAGCGAAGGAGAGAATATAAGTGAGATAAAAATAATTTTTAAGAAAGTTATTGGAAAATTTTTTTTAAGTAGAAAAAAAACTAAGAATTAATAAGAAGTTTTTAATGTAACAGGAGAAGTAATATATGAAATCAGGAACAAAAAACGCATTGGCGTCGATTACGTTAAGCTTGTATAAATTGCATAAAATATGATAAGTCAGATTTTTCGATAATGTATATATAGCATTGAAAAAATCAGATAAAATAAAATGCGCAAAAGGAGAGATTGCCTGAAATTTATATATTAATATCTTTAGTTTCAACAATCGACGCCGGTGCAAAGAAGCGGAACTAAAGATGCCGAAGCAAACAATTACGCAAAGGAACTGATAAATAATTCAAGAATATCGCAACACATCTCATATACGGGAAAAGTATTATTTATCAGTCATATTTTAAACGTGCCTTTCAAAACTTAAAAATGCTTAAATTACGAAACAATGCAATATAAAATAATTAAGATTATTAAATGTTTTTTTAAGAGATGGTTATAGAGATTTTAATTATTAAATTCATCGCGTCAAGATCTCGGGGCTTAAAAGATCTTCTATTCAATCTTGTAAGATTTTCTAGAACACTTTTCCCGCATGGAAATGTAAGCGAAGAGAAAAGAAGAAATGAAGTATTCGGAAACGAAAAGTATGAATTCCAAAATGAAAGTAAGGTAAAATAAAAAAAGGAGAACCCAAAGGAAAAACAAAGGAGAAAGAACCGTGATAGGCGCGTGCCGCTTACCGGCGG